GAAAAAAAAAAGAACTCATGACAGGGCTGGAGCAATAGTACAGCGGGTAGGACATTTGCCTTGCACGCAGCTAACCCGGGTTCGATTCCCAGCATCCCATATGGTCCCCCAAGCACCATCAGGAGCAGTTCCTGAGTGTAGAGCCAGGAATAACCTCTGTGCATCGCTGGGTATGACCCAAAAAGCAAAAAAATTTTAAAAAGGACTCATGGCAGGCCTGCACCTGGGGGACCTGTCTGGGGCGGGGCGGGGGAGGGGAGCAAGGAGGTCTCTGTCCTCAGAGGAAGCTCTAAGCGTCCCTGCTCTTGTTATCAGCCCCTCCAGAAATTTCCGCCTGCCAGAGTCGCCCCATTTGCTGTGCCCTCCTGCCCTCTTCTCCTTCTCTGGCTGCCACCCAGTGCCTGCTGAACATGGTTGACAAAGGACTCATTAATTTGCCTGCTCAGGTGGTTCTGGAATCTGGGGTCCTGCCTAGCAATGAGGGGCAGATGTTGAGATGAGTCGGCGTGTCCCATGGGCCAGAGAGAGAGAGAGAACAGTGGGTATGTGCTTGCCTGGCACAAGGCCAGCCCTGGTTTGATCCCCGGCACCCTGGATGGTACCCTGAGCACAGCCAGGTATGGTCCAACCCTGCGGCTCCCAAGAAAGAGGTTCCCTGCCCTCTAGGGACATGGTGTTGGGGGGCAGATGTCCCGACAGTGCAGTGAGTGGAGAAGCTCCTGGGACTTGCTCTGCGGGAGGAGGAGCTGGGACAGGTGGAGGCGGAAGTTAGTGTGTTGGAGGGGAAGGGTGGGGACGGGGGAGGGGAGTCAGGTCACTGTGTGGCTGGGGGCTGGGCCAAGCCACTGAGGCGCATGGGTAGCGACATGGCTACTTCACCAAGAAGCTCTGATGCTTCTTACTCAGCCCGGCAGAACAGGGTTACAACGGCCTTCGTCCTCTCTGCAGCCTCCCCAGTGGTGACTCCACCCCCTCCTGGAGGGAAACCAGGCTGGGCTCCAGCACGGTGACCGTGTGGGTCGATGTGGTCAGCACCAAAGCCCTGCCACTGGGCAGACAGGCTGACCCCGAGCATGGCGACACTCTCTGAGCCGCAGACTTCGGGTCAGCTCTGCTCTGAGGGTGGGGACTGGCTCTCGCTAAGTCAGGACAGAAAGACTCTGGGTCTGGGACCCCAGGAGAGGCCCTGGGACCCCGAGATGCCTTACTGCCACCCCCACAGAGCAATGGGAACAATGAGGAAACAAAGGCATTCAGCGGCGTCCACAGCGACACCAGTCCAGCAGCCCCACCCCCCTGCCCCCCTGTCTCTCGGAGCCACCAGAGCATCAATCTCCCTGCTGAGACCGACTCTCCTTCCAGGGTGACTCCCCTGCTGCCCCTCCACGCCCAGGCTCGGGATTCTCAGGGTCAGACTGGCAGAGCCAGCAGCCTTACCTGCCTCACCTGCCTGGCATCTTCACTCCTGGGGTTAGGAGCCCCTGGCAATCGCGAGAGGGCCGGGAGGAGCAGGCGGGGCCTCCAGTCAGCTGCACTGAGATGTGAGGGAGCCTTCAAGTTCCCCCATCTCACGCGAGGTCCCCCTGACAGCCACCGACGCAGAGCGAGCCTCTGTCCTGCTGACAGGAGTGTGACTGCAGGGCCACCAGCCTGGGGCGCAGCCTGCCCACTTCCCGGGAGCGAAAGCTGCAGGAGCCCATGCAGCAAGGCTGCCAAGGAGCTCTTGGAAGCCTCAGTCTCCTCACACAGAAGTCCCCGGAAGTGCTCCTGTCCATGATTCCTTGGATGGCTGAGCTGAGAACCCTGGGAAAGAGGGCGACCACGGCCTCCGCTGTCATTTCTGTGAGGCTGGTCACAGTGGTCCTCAGAGGATGCTGGTGCCAGGCCATGGTCCAGGGGCCCAGAAAGGCCATGCGGGGAAGGGGCCCCGGACGGGCACTCTGCACCTGCCCGGCTGCCTCCCATGCAGAGCTCCCGGTGCTGGAGAAGCTCTTCACCCCATCAGGGCTGCTGCTGCCGCAGATACTACTGCTTTAGAACGGCCTGAGCTGGCCAGGGCACTGCCCCTGCACTCTTGCCTCTCCAGATAAAACGCTCCAGGCGGCTTGATTCTGCACTGTCAGGCCACCTGAATCCCCTCCATCCAGGACAGCGGAAGGAAGAAAGCAAGAAATCCATCTCTGTAAAGGCTCGGAGGCATGGTGGCAGTGTTTGTTTGGGTTGGACGGCATCTTGCTATCATAATTCAAATGAAATCCCAGCTTAAATAAGGCTAAAATAACTGGGGCCACGGTCCTACCTAACCGGATATTGCAAAGAGATTAGGGAGCTGCTTCTGGTGGCTGGGATGGGCCACAGACAGGGCGGGGCTTCCCCCACACACACACTGTGCCGTGTACCCCAGGCAAGCCCCAAGGCTTCGGCGGCCTGTGGACTGAGGCTGGAACACAGGGGACTCGGTCCTGGAGGAAACTGCAGGCCCCTTGAGGCCCGCCTGGGGCAGGCGTTCACAGGCTAAATGCAAGGCAGCTGCGTGGCCATCCATCATGGGGTGGGATGGGCGAGGCTCGCCTAGGGAATAGAAAAAGACTGCTGGAAAGGTAATAAAAGGATTAGCTGCTATTTCAGCAAGACATTTACTCTCCCATCAAAGTGTCTCATCTATTTCCTGTTCCCCAGAGGCTCCAGGTTCAAAATTCCTTTGTCTGTGACAGCACATGGTAGCCGGCCTGTCATGAGAAATGAATAGTCTCCTGGGGTAGGGAGCTGAGGGGGGGCTGGGGTGACCGGTGCAGAGAGCAGGGAGCAGGGCGGTGGGCTGGGGGCGATCGGAGGCACACTCCGTCTGCAGGCAGGGACCTGGGGAAGCCTGGCCCGACACATATGAGCACCCGCGGTTGAGCAGCAGCTCAGTATGAACCCAAGCCGCCCGGCTTAGGCTCCACCCACGGGACCGAGCTGTTCTCTTGTTCCTGGGAGGTTTGGTGCAGTTCAGGTTCTCCGTGGACTTGGTGCAGCCGTGGTTGAGGTCCTCGTCTCAAGCGATGCCATCTCCGCAAGTCTGTTTCTTTTTTTTTCTATGTTTTAATTTATATTCATTATGCTTATAATCATTTTCCTTCTCACAGCAAGTTACGTTGATTAATTTCAGAATTCTGTTTTTGTATCAGAAAGATGCATCTGAACTTTCAGACACAGGCTCTTGTGCCTCGTCAGGGCCATCGGGAGTCTGCGTGTGTGGGCGCTCTCGGGAGCTGTGGCTGGCACCATGACCAGGAGCCTAGAGGGGCCCGCAGAGGCCTAACCACGACCAGTCTGGGCTCTTCACCCTCAACACCCTCTCAGGAAGCATCAAGGCAACGGCTTGAACATCACTCGCTCCATGACGCCCTCTGGGCCTGCCCTCCGGGGCCTGGGTAAGCTGCGTCCCTGCCCTTGGCAACCCTCTCCACACAGCTCCCCCAGCCCTGGCCATGAGTGCCACCGGGCAGTTCCAGACCTGGGCTCCAGACCGACACATAGAAGGGCAGGAACAGCCACTGTCCGGGTGAACCCAGAGAGACCCTGGCAGCCTGGCACGGGGCAGAACCCAGGGTTGCCGAGACTGTGTCATCCGGGCCTCTCCTTCCCACGTTTCCGGGTCCCTAAGGCCCCCTCACCCCATGTTCAACTTGGTGACCATGGGACGCTGGGAGTCACACAGGGAGCCGAGCACCAGCAGAATCATGCCACCTGGGGTTCAGTGCATGAAACCCCATCAGACTCCCCTCCCCCCCCACACACACACCCCAGCAAGGCCCCCAGCAGGAGGACGGCAAGGGAAAGTGGCTTAGCTACTGTGGGCTCGAGACTGCGGGAGGGACTGAGGGAACCTGAGTCTCCCGAAGCCCGGCCTGTGCTGGCCACTGGCCGTCCCTTCCCAGGCCGGGACACCCTTGCCACCAAGCCCAGATGCGAGACCGGGGACAGCAGCCATCAGCCTCCTTCCAGCTCCCCTGGGCCCACGGCACCAGCAGGCAGACACTGAGGGGCTCGCTCCAGCCGCGCCCACGTCTGCCCTTCCATCCTACAGACCCTGCCTGCCCCCACCGTCACCCCCGCACGACACAGCCTCTGTGGCGCTGAACCTGCCCCCACTCCACACGCAACGGGGCCAGGGAGGATGCTGGGGGGTTCAGGGCTCCGGCTGGCTGCCGGCATCTTCTGCCTCCTCCCCAGCCGGTCAGGGCATTGTGCAGACACCGAGGTGTACCCCCACCCCACAGCACCCCTTCCCGGGAGCACCCCACACGGGATGGGGGACTGTGGTCAAACACGACCGTGACTGTGACTCTGGACCTACGGACCAGACAGAGCCCCCCTCTCTGCTCCCCAGAAGCCCAGTGGGGAGCAGAGGCTCCACTACCCCTGCCCCGGGGGAACCTCTCCCCTCCAGGTGGGCAAACCAGGCCCTGCCAAGTGGGCGGGGGGGTGCTCATGGTGGGGCCTGAGGAATCAAAGAGGCAGACTGTACCCACTTGTTGTCTGAGAGAACTCCCCACTGTAGTGAGAGGGGAGGGGGGGGGAGAGGCCTGGGTGGAGTGTGTGTGTATGTGTGTGTGTGTGTGTGTGTGTGTGTGCGTGTGTGTGTGTGTGAGAGAGAGAGAGAGGGTGAAAGAGAGAGGGGAGAGAGAGAAAGAGAGAAGAAGAGGGAGAGGGAGAGAAAGAGAGGGAGAGACGGAGCCGAGTGGTGTACATGTGAGAGAGAGAGGGAGAGAGCGAGAGAGAGCGAGGGCATCAGAGACCTGAATGGTGTGGGGGGGGGTTTAGGGGGGACGGTACACGCACGCGTGTGTTTGTCCCCCTCACAGTGCCCTCACCCCTGCTGGCACTGCAGATGCTCTGTGGACCTGGTTCACCCCGAGTCGCGCCCCCTCAGCTCAGGGACCAGACTGCCCTGGCAAGCCCCGGCTGAGGCGGCTGGAGGGGAGCATGTCCCGCCCCCGGCTCCCGGCACTCACCATGCACTTGTTGGGCTTCTCGCCCGAGTGCACCCGCATGTGGATGAGCAGCTTGTAGCGGGCGTTGAAGGGCTTGTAGCGGCGCACGCAGCCGGCCCAGAAGCAGGTGAAGTCCTCGCCCTTGCGCTGGTCGATGTGGCTCTTCTCGATGTGTCGCACCAGCTCGTCCTGATGGTCGTAGGCCGCGCCGCAGTCCACCCAGCGGCAGGCCTGCCTCCCGGCCACCCGGCCCAGCCCCAGGCCACCCAGGGGCCCGGGGGGCAGCGGGGGCAGGGGGTAGGGGGGCGGCAGGCCCGGCTGGGGCGGCCCGAAGAGCTCGGAGAACTCGTCCGCCGGCTCCTGCTTCAGGAAGGCGGCCTTGCGGCAAGGGTCCAGTGGCACGCCGTCCACTCGGCCGTCCAGGGAGGCGGGGCCCGGCCGGACCCGCTTGGCAGGGCCCCCCAGGTCTCCTGGCAGCGGGGGGCTCCGGAGTCCGTTCACGCAGGTGACCAGAGGGCTCTGGGAGGCGCGGGGGGCCGGGGGGACGTCAGGGGCGGCCGAGGAGCTGGGGGGCAGGCCCAGGAGGCAGCAGCGCTTCAGGCTGCCCTCGGGGAGGTGGGCTTCTGGCGGGGGGCCCAGGCCAGGGCTGGGCTCAGTGCCCAGCAGGTAGCAGGAGGCTGCGGTGCTGGCCAGGTCGCTGTGCAGGCCGGGCGCCGGCGGGGCCCGGCGGTGGGCGGCCAGCGTGGCCCGAGCTTCCATCATGGACCGGTAGGCGGGCAGGGACTCCTGCTTGATGTGCGGGGGGACAGGGAGGCTGCCGTTCACGTAGGCGGCCGGGGGTCGGGGTGACCTGGAAGACAGGGGCAAAAGGCTCTGAAGAGCGGGACACGCTGGGCGCGGAGAGCCCGACATGCCCTCTGGACCCTGCGGGGAGGAGCAAACACACCCGTCCCCCAGGGCCCAGCTCCCCCAGAAAGCGCCAAGATTCTTTGGAAACGGAGGGGCAGCCTTGAGAAGCTCAGAATGCCAGGAGGAGGGCGGCCCAAGGGGCAGAGCACACGCAGGCAGGCATGTGGCCCTGAGTGCGGTGCCCAGCCGCACATCCCCCCCACAAGCACTGCCAGGTCTGTCCCTGGGAGGGGTGGTGGCTGAGCATCCCAGACCCTCACCCTGAGCCTCTGTGTCCATACTGACAGGTGATACAGGGGGGCTGGTGCCCGCCAACAATGCTCTTACTGTTGGGGCGGGGGTAGCTAAACCTTCGATAACACTGGGCAGTCTCTAAAAAAATAAAAAAAATGAAAGCACAGCCGCTCGTCCTGTGTTTGCATTCCTGAGCCTGGCAGAGGTGGGCACGGGAAGGGCAGGGCTCTGGGCAAACACCTGTCTGGAAAGCGTTAGTTAGTCAGTCATCTCTTCATCAACTCTCTAGTACCTATGATCCACCTATGCTCTCTCCTACCCTCTCTACCCATCAGCTATCCTTCTATCCTTCCTATCGACTATCTATCATTTATCATCTATTGTCTATCTTTTCTATTATCTATTTCCTGTCTGCCCGTCAGGCCCCTGGGGCTCCCCACTCCCCACTGCTGCTCCCTCTCCTTGGGCTGGTGTTGTCTCGGGGATCCCAGTGCCTGGCTCCCTCCTGGCTGCCATCCTGGGGCCTGGCAGGAAGCTTCTCTAGCCGAGACTCAAGGGGTGGTGTGGGCCTCGTGAGGGTCCCCCTCAAACAAACCCCCAACAGTCCGGGTCAAAGTCCTAGCCCGATGCGATTGAGGCTGCCGTCCCCAGCCGCCCAGCTACAATCCCACCCTGGGACTACCGTGGCCCTCCCAAGGTGCCACCGCTGCAGCGCGGGCCAAACACTGGCCAACATCTGGGCACTCCCGAGTTCTGGCCAGTACTGGCCGCCTCCCTGTGTGTCCCGCTCACCCCCACCCCGCGGTGTGAGGCCCAGAGATGCTCCGATCCTGGCCTCCGTGAGCGCCCCCAGCCGAGGCCAAGACGTACCTGCTCGGGAGGGGGAGGTGCAGTAGCCTCTCGCAGGCCGGGGGGTGGGCCCGGGGGGGCGGGGTGCCCGCCGGGAGGAACAGGCCCTGGCAGCAGGTAGGACTGGGGCCCTCGGCCAGGTCCAGGTCCAGCAGGCTCTTCTCTGAGCCGGGGGTGCAGTGGCCATGGCTCCCGTTCACTAGGCAGAGAAAGGAGACAGTGAGGGCGGCTGCCGGGATACCAGGAGTCCTGGGGCAGTGCGGGACGGAGCGCCCCCCGGGACCCCGCCATCGCCACGGGACCCACGGCGCAGCCCCAGTGCCAGGAGCTGCTGAGCCCCAGGGGGAAAGTGGCCCCACGGGCGGAGCTGCCAGTCACAGCACAGGAAGCTCCTCTCCGTGCCGGCAGTCGGTCAGGGATCCACGTGCCACCTACTGTCATCTGGAAGGGGGCTGGCTGCAGGCTGGGCAGGCAGCAGTCCGTGCTGCCCAGAAGGCAGGTGAGCAGCACTGACACTGTGTGCCTGTGCATGTGTACAGACGAGTGCGCACACACATATGTGCACCCTGTTCGTGGATGTGCGCCCAAATGTGTGCATATCGTGGTGTGCGACTGAATGCGTGTCAGTCTATGCATATGTGTATTGTGTGTGCGTATCCACATGAGTGCCTCATGCAGTGTGTTTGCATGTGTGTGTGCATGAATTGTGTACATATGTGCATGCGAACGTGTGTGTACACCTGTGTGCGTACACATGCACATTTGTGTGTGTGCCTGTGTGTTTATGTGTGTGTGTGTGTGTGTGTGTGTGTGTGTAAGGAAGAAGTTCCCACTCCAAGCACTGATTCTGGTCATTAGCATGTCTCAGTCTGCACTGTCTCCCGCTGTGGGTTACAGCCCCAGAAACACACAGAAATCCCATATCCGCCCCCCCCACCCCACGCAGTGATAATGCCACTGCGCCATGCCCAGTCACTGGCATCTCGTGAAGTTCCATTGGGGCTCTAAAGGGAAACCAAGCCTGAAGGTACTAGATAAAGTGCAAGAACAGCATGTTTGGCACGGGACTGGGGAGCCAGCACAGGGCCCCAGCAGGCACGGGACCTGGTCCAGTGCCCAGTGCCACCTGCCTGCCCCAGCCTTGCTGAGAACAGCACCTCCGCGTGTGGGCCTGCGGGTCTCCGGCACTATGGAGCCTGAACAGCCCTGCCTTCAGGCCTTCCACTCCCCCCAGCTGTTGGGGGTGGCCCAGAATGTCAGCATGGCTCGGGGCGAGCACGGAGAGCACCCCCAATGTCAGGCACGGTCACGGAAGCCACGCCCCCTTTCTGGCCCGTCCCCAGGGCAAGGAGGGTTAATCTGGGACAACCTTCCTGGCCTCCAGGCCGCCACGTGGCAGAATTAGGTTAAAGCAGAGTGGATGTGAGTGAGGGTCTCTGTGTGCCTCAGTAGCCCCCAAACAAGGCTGTGGCACAGCCCTGCCCAAGCTGCCCCTCAGCCACGGAGACCACTGAGTCAGGTCCCCGGCTGCCAAGCGAGGCTCTGAGAGTGGGCATGCAAGCCCTTCACGGTGCCAGCGTAAGGGGGCACCTGACCAGTACCCCAACAGCATCATCAACAGGCCTGCACGTCACCCCAGAACTGCCAGCACAGAGCAAGGAGGCCATGGAGGTGGGGAGAGACCAGAACACGGGCAGCGGCCTGGCCTGCAGGACACATGCCCCAGTGATCCCACTGGCCCCTGGGCCCGCTGTCCACGGGAGGGAGGAGGAGGATCGGGTATGGAAGAGAAAAGGGGAGCTGGGATGTTCCAGGGCCTGGCCAAGATGACGCACCAAAGTCTCCCTTGGGGCTCCAGACCAACCCCGCCCCAGCCTGCCTCTGAGTCTATGCCAGGAAAACCGCCTCTGAGCCCCAACACCGACTCTCCCCTTCCCGCCTTGCGGACCCCACGGCACCTCCCAGCCCACCCCAGGCAGCCCCCACAGCCGCGCCTGCCTGTGACAGCTGGAGAACTCACCCCTGCTCTCCGGGTGCCCACAGCCTGCCTGACTCCTGACAGCCTGGAGAGGACCATGCAGTGTCCCCGGCGGGTGGGGGGTCCCAGGCCAACTCGTGCAAGGGGACCCCTTCCCAGCAGAGCCAGCCCGCGTCCTGCGGGGACAGACGCCCGCTTCCCCTGGCCGCGCCGCTCCTGGGCCGGCCCCTCACGAGCTTATTTTTTAATAACTTGGTCGTTTTTTAATTAAAAAGCAATCCCTGGTAACAAATGTGAGCGGCCTGAGTTAATGAGAGCCGGCTGCCGCCCGCTTGCGTCCGTCTCTGTGCACAGCCCTGGCTGCCCGAATCGCTTCGGCACACCATTTTATTGTCCCGTGGAGGCAAGGCCTGGGCCTGGGCCTCAGAAAACTGTGGCTAATTTTATGACCATTAATAGCATTTGGAGCAGAGAACACTTAATCATCGCTCGCTCTGCGGGGCGTTCTCCCAGCGCCTGGCCGAGGCTGAGGGCACTTCTCAGCCGCCCGCCACGACCCACCAGGCCTGCAGGGGACCGCTGTGTTACTCAGCCCTTCTAGGCCAGGGGTCCCGGGGTCTGGGAATGTCCGGGGAGCCCAGCACCCTCAAGGTCTCGCTCCTCAAGCCTCCCTTCCTACACACCAGGCACTGGAGCCTTTCCAGAAGGTTCCAACCTGACGAGGTGGGCAAGCAGAGGTTTGGGGATTTGGGGCCTTCAACCAGGCTTGTGGTCTATATGAGGTGGGGGACACAGCTCAAAGCCAGATCCCCAGCTTGGCTCAATCTTTTCGTCTGCTTCCTTCTGAGCCAGCAGAGAACAGTGTCCCCATTTCATCCCCAGAAGTCCCCCACCAGTGATTCCGACTGGTCAGCAGATCAATGCAGGTGCAAAGGGGCTAAAAACCACAACTGCAAGGAGGGTCATGTGGAAGAGACGGGGACAGTCCACTGCCGCCGGACAGCAAGTCCCAAGTGTCAGGCTCCTTGGTCCAGAGAGGTAGTACAGTGGGTAGGGCACTAGCCTTGCATGCGGCTGGCCCAGGTTCGATTCCCAGCATCCCATTTGGTTGTCCAGACCCCACCAGGAGTGATTAGTGAGCACAGAGCCAGGAGTAAGCCCTGAGCACTGCCGGGTGTGCCCCTAACCATTCTCCCCCCCTAAAAAATTCTAAATGTCAGGATCCAAAGGAGGTTGCCAGGCATAAGTCTGGGGACAGAGATGCAGGCAGAGGCACAGAGCAGCCAAGTGGTCCCCAAGCCACACAGGGGGCCGGGGCTGAGCTGAGACACAGAACTCAGTGGGAAGAGACGGCCAACGCTGGGCCAGTCCTGCGCACAGCTGGTCTCCACCGGATACACTGCACAAGTGGCTTTGTGGGGAGGGAGGCCTGGAGCCACAGTGTGACCCTGATCGGGGATCTAGCCCCCAGCGAGCCTGGTCACTGACCCTCACACCAGGAGGACAGTCCCGACCCCCACCCCGGGGCAGGGGTGAAAGGCGGCCAGTGAAAGGTGAAAGGCAGGTACACAGCCCTGGGACCCAAGCGCAAGAAATGAAACCCGAGATGCTGAGACACGTCCAGGGGAGCAGGCTCAGAGGAAAGTGGGCGGAACCGTCCCCTCTGCTGCCACAGACCAAGTCCTCCCAGGGGTCACAGCAGCTGCCCACTGACTCTCCCTGCCAGGAAACAGGTCTGTGGGCTTTCTCGGGGATGGAGGGGTGTGGTCCCTGGGGGGAACCATGAAGCCTCCAGGGACCCAGGAGGCTCTCCCTGGGAAAAGGAGCTTAGGAAGTCCTGTGTCCCAACCCACATGGTGTAAGAAAGCCTAGAACGTCACGCCTGGGACTTGCTGATCATTTATTTTTATTTACTTGCCTTTTGTTTGCTTTGAGGCCACAGCCAGCCTGCGGTGCTCAGAGTTGGTTCCAGCTTTGGTCAGGGATGACTCCTGGTGGGCTTGGGAGATCCAATGGGGGGCCGGGGATCGAACCTGGGCTGACCGCATGCAAGGCAGGCACTCTGCCCACTATACTGTCGCTCTGGGCCCCGCCCATCGTTTATTTCATCCCTCGATGAAGCAACCGAGGATCAGAGGGGAACAGAGCCGCCCCAGACACACAGCAAGTGCACAGCAGAGCCTGGCCCCACACTCCTTCTGTCTTTGAGTCTCAGCTGAGCCACGTCCTGAACCCGGTGCCTTTGGCCTGCTTCGAGCTCACGGGAAGCATCCGACAGGTGCTGATGGCAACAATGATTGCTTGGCCTGTTGATGGCTCGGATTGTGGCAGAACAGAGGGTAGGGGTCGGGGTGGGGTTGGCCAGAGGATTGGATGACCTGGGACTACACACAAGACAAGCCCCCACAGCTGCGGGGGGACCAAAGGCAGGACCCGGCAGGCTGTGTGAGGCCACAGCCCACTGACGTGCCTCACACAGATCGGGGGACCTGCCAGAGGGCTTTGCAAATTACCATCCCGGCTTGGCTGTAAGGCGGTACCACGGAGAAGGTGACTCCCCGCGAGAATTTTAATTCCTGCTGGAACGTGCCAAGTCGCCTTAGAGAGACAAGGATGCGCTCAGCACCCAGGGCCCGGCGGCCACCTGCTCAAGCGCCAACGGTGGCCAGTGACAGGACTGCTCCCCGCGCACCCTCAAGCAGACGTGCGGTGCCCGCCAGGAGTCAGACAAGGTGAGACCACACTGCGCTTTGCAATCTCCGACACATTTTCCAGTCAACGCCTCTGAGAAGTACTGCGAAACTCCAGGAGTTTGCTGAGCAGGCCCAGAAGGGGCAAGCAACCTGTCTGATCTCACACAGCAAATGGAGAGCTTGTAGTACCAGGGACCAGCTCACCTATCACCTAGTCCGCAAACATTCCCTGCAAAGGGCAGGTAGTGAAAAGCTCACCTGGGCAGGCGATAGTCTCTGCCATACCACTCAACACCTTGGGGCTCAGGGAAGCAGATGAGGGCAGCCGGCAGCACCGGGCCAACCCTGGACCCGGCACGGCCGCTGGAGACAGGCTTTGCAATTAGAAAGACAAGACTTCAACCTCTTCAACTCACACGTCCTTACTTCCGGAAAATGGGAGAAGATGCCAGGTGGGGTTAATGACGAGAGCATCACTGCCAAGGACTGAACACAGCGCCTAGCGCCCGGCATTGATGACGGAGGGTG